CTCTGACTGGGAGATTCTGGGGTTTGAGTTCTGACGGTAGCAGGATTTTGACAGTAGCCAGATAGCTAGGTCGGTTTATGTTGCTTCCTGGAGAAGAAGTCTATCGGCCAACTGCTCTGATCGGTAGTGTTCCTTGGTTTCTTCTATCAACACCTGGCTAATGCCGAAGCAGTACACTTAAAAACGGGCCACGGACCGCGTGCAATCTTTCCTTCCCATTTCTTGTCCTGTCCTACCCCTTTCTTCCACACACTTAAATTTACTATAGTACCATACATGTCGGGACACCGATGAGAAGCTGGGACGATGCCCCCGCTAGTGGGAGACACCTGGTGGGGGAAACCGCCGCTAGCCGAAGGTAGGTCAGTGTTGGATCTGGCCGTTTAGGACGGCAATTTCACTGGCACCTCACGAGCAAGAACATGCACTACTCTTGTGGGACTAATGACGCCTGGGTATTCACTAGTAATCAGCCATGAAATATTCAGTAAATTAAATTAATTTTTGACTAAAAGTGATGCATCATATTTGTTTGTAATATTCTCAATAAATTGAATTATCTCTAATTCTTCCTCGTTAAGCTCTTCAGGTGACTCTTTAAGAGTGTGCTAGCTTTCCGTGGTGCTAACCCGGGTTCGATTCCCGGTTGGGGAATAATGAAGCTGTAGCTTTCTAATACAAATCGTCCCTGTTTCTAAAGCTATGAATCGAAAGAAAAGTTCAAGCAGGCCAAGTTTGCTAGGTACAGCGAAGGGAACACTTTATGCTCGCTATCCTTACATTTTTACATTTTACAGTTTTCCTTAGGTGTGGATAATAAATTAAAACAAACAGAAAGACGCAAACAGACAAACAGATTTGCCGTCTATCGATTTTTTGGTATCAATTACCCACCAAACATAGATTCAAGCTACATCACCTTTTAGAGGATTTTTTCTTTGAATTTAGCAAGAGGAGATATCCATTTTTTCGCTAACAGGCCCGACAATATGAGTTGTTCGGTCGAAAATTCGCCCTTTTCCAGCGCACTATTACATAACGTGATCTTTTTACGAAGAAGTTCGTAAGGCGAGAGAATAGGCCTGGGAACACCGCTAGTTGGTAAGAGTCGGATGAATCCACAATAAAATGCTAAATACACAAATATATTTTGTCGCAGTTTGTCTCAAATTATACCATTTTTTCTTATCATATGTGAACTTTGTGTTACAAATTACGAGAGTCGGAACACTGCAATTTATTTTGACAAAAACAAATGGAAATTACAATTTTTATTCCATATTTTTCAGAGGTCAGGATGGCTAATAATTTTTGGTGATTGACTTCAATAAGTTAGAATTTGTTTCATTTTGTTATCAAACCCTTCTTAATTTGCATATCACAGTTTAAAGCAGACTTACCAGAATCATTATGATCACTTTTAGCTATAATCGGGTCGTCCATTTTAATCTTGGGAGATACCTGTGCAAAGAACATGAAAATTAGAATGTTAGAATTGAAATTAAAATGTGAATGTATTTTCGTCGTTTGGAGGGCAGACATAGGGTAGGGTATAAGTACCAAAAATACGTCTTACAGAAAAATGAAAAAAATTATCCAGTGCCTTTTCTAAAGTCATATTTATATATTTTGAAAATTTCTCAGGGGCTTCATGTAAAGTACCTCACAAAATTAAAATATCTATTTCAAACTCAAGGGCCGGCGACGTCATCCATATCGATGGGGAATATTAATGTTGGAGAAAATCGAATGAGTAGTATAGCCACTAGCGTTGTTCACAGACGGACACACGCTTTGTCGTCATTCGATTTTTCGGTATCAAGGGCTCATAAAACATGGGTTTTGGCTACGCCACGTGTTAGAGGATTTTTTTTAGATTTATCAACCATTTTTTCGTTACCAGGGTCCAGGGATAAAAGTTTTTCTGCGTAAATTCGTAGCCGTTTCTCGCAGCATTACGTAGCTTTCCCTCTACTGCGTAACCGTAGCGAGCACGTTAAAAGACAGAAAGGGAGTCGTGATTATACATTTATATTTATGCGTGACTTTATATTTATAAGGGATAACTTTTACCTATATTGCAGTCACAACCATCATATATTGACGGATCAATAACACAGCAGAAGCAACCTTACATAAGTAACTCGGGTATTCGAATACCTAGTACATGCTACCCCATACACAACCACCCCATCATTCAAATGCCCGAACAGGCTCTTGGGCTCTCATAATAATGACCAAAAAGCCCCCATAGAAGGTACCTTGTCAGGGTTGCAAAAGCGTAGATCGGCAGATCTTATCAGAGCCGGCATGGCGGCGCTCCGAGTACTAGGGTTGAAGTCTTGACGGTGTTGGATTTTTGACACTACCTATACAGCTAGATGAAACTCATCCTAGCCCCCAGCCGTCGTGGAAACGGGCGGTTGCGGTGAGCAGAGATAAGCATTTCGGACAACTCGAGGCACCCCGCAGCGAGCGGTCATGTCTGCGTAGGTGGACTAGGTCTTTCGATGCCGAGTTTCACGGCGGCACTCACGTCGTTAGCCTAAAAGTGCAGGCTGTGAGGAGGCAATGCTAAGCTCCTGGTCCTATGTCGCAAGACCTTTGGGCAGGATCGGTTGAAGGAGATCCTTCGGTATCTGGAATCTACTCAGAAACGTCCGGCGGAAAACCGACCCACCCACCTGGTTGTATAAGATCCAGGCGATACTCACGTCGTTAGCCTAAAAGTGTAGAGACGTAAAGAGAGGAGCCAAGCCGCCCTAACCTTCGTTCTTGGGCTCTTGACTTCGTCGCAATGGCCCGATACTCTGGGATTTTGTAATTCATGCACAAATGCAATACGATAGGTAGACAGAAAGACACTTTCGTGGTCACACCAATATTCTAACACACAGAAGCACTCATGGTTCATACACGTACACTCTGGCAACTACACATGTACTCTGACAACTATAAATGCACTCTAGCAAACACGTATGTACTCTGGCAAACACTTATGAACTCTGCCAAACACGTATGTACTCTACCAAACACGTATGTACTTTGGCAAACACGTATGTACGTATGTCCCTGAATTTTGCAACAGTTCTGCTTCCAAAACATCGTAACTACGAATTAAAATCCTACAATTACTTATTAAGTAATAATTTACGTTCACCCTGATTGTGCTTAATTAAATTCAAACTAACACTCTTTTCTGGATACGCACTCTTTCTGTCGCTGCAGATAGGACACCTCGATCGCCACTCACCAAATAAGTCTCGCGTCGGTCGCACAATTTTTTACGTCTGGTGTCACGTGACCTTAACGTCAGTGCTACCACAGCTCCTCGGCAATATGATATCCGATTTCGTGGAATGGACGCACAAATAACCATTTCAAATCTATTGTTTTGAAAAATATTTGTACTCCTACAAAACTGATTGTTTTTTGTAATTGCAAAATACAATGTTTCTGTGAGTTAGTGATTTAGAATGCTTTTTAAACTTCGTTGAATATATGAAATATTTATGATGCCCACGTGATATGACGTCGCCGTGAAATGTGTCACAATGTACCCATGAGTCCCTCTGCGAAGTATCACGTGAACCCGCGGCTCTGACGTCACACCCGCTCGACAACATGGCGTCCGATTTCATGGAATGGCCACAAAACTAAAAATTTGAAACTTATTTCTACTAAAACCAGTTATGCTTGTTGTAAAATCGTGAATATTAATTCTATACATGTAAAATACACTGTATCTAAAAGTTAGAAAAGTATTTGAGAAAAGCTTCCAGTTTTCTTGAGCGTATGAAATATGAAGCACGTATTCTGCTAAGCAAAACGTATCCCATCTATTTACTCAGATCACTTAGTTATTGAAAAAACATTCCTCAAAACTAATGAACTGTCGTTAATAGTATTTTCATTTACAAACAGAGAAAAAAATACTTTCACTATTCATGGAAGGTCTCACGATTAACGTTACATTTGTCAGCAGAATTTAAAAATTTTCGCACTAATCGCACATAAATTCTCATTGTTTTTTGATCGAATAAAAACATGAACATGAAAATAGCTGTAATGATATCTTCCGTGATTCACAAGACACTCACATTTTAAATTTCTCGTTGTGCAATATCAAAGATCAGATTTCGCATTTTCAAGCTCTGGCCCGTCTGCTACGAATAACCGCTTTGAAACTAAACCACTCCAGAATATTTTCACGCGCAAGTAAGCAGAATAAATCACTAAGAAATAGTCATCAGGTAAATTCTTCTGTTTCATAAAGCTCAAAGACAACGTCATGTAAATATTTCACGGGTTTTTCGCTAACATCACTAAACACATATTACTGAATGTTAATAATTCACTGACGCACTCAGTAACAATCATTATTGCATAAGAAGTATTCAAATTCAATAATCACAAACTATGAAAGAGCACAGAAAATAGAAACATACCAGTGATGACAGGTGTCACTCGCAACTCCACAACCACACCGAATCACTCCTTCACTGCGAATGCTGATGGCGACGGGAAGTCATGAAGTCATTCACCACGCACCGGCGTGCTTCCCAAGTCTACCGCCAGGTAGCGACGTTTTCTCTATTTCCGAATTATTTATTTACTTCAATGCGATATAAATATGTAAATAAATATTGTGTGAGAGTGCAAAAATAAAAAAATGTAATTAACAAACTACAGCATAATTTCTCTTGGAACATTTATAAATCGCTAATAAAAAAAGCCAATCACTGCTTTCCGAAGAAACAGCCAGAAAGCCTCGAAATGCCTTAGAGTAAACACGAACAACTTCAAGTACGCCATTTTTCCTGGGAGTTAAATTTTCATGACGTAAAAAATATTTAAGTTTTTAGGTTATTGTTGGGGACGACAATTTTCATTATTAATCTAGTATTTATGGAAATTAATGTGAAATTGAATTAATGTGATATGAATTTATTACTTGTTCTTCATGTACTAGAGAAATATTTTACCGTCGCCGTATGTCACCGTGACATGCTGTCTAAAATAAGACAGTAGTTCTTATTTCAATACATACTCGACCAAAAATATTTCTCTAAATTAATAAAAAATGTGTTCAATATTTTATCTAGTGCTCTGAACATTTTTTTCTGCGTATGATTATTGTGGAACCAGGTAGGATTATGCAATCTCTGAGACAAATTGTTTTCCTTGAGGATTTTATATTTTCATTAAATAATGCTGAATTATCAAGAAGTTGTCAAATATTGTGTTAAAATGAAATTAATATTGTTTCAAAATAATAAATCATCATATATTACGTTCATACAAGAAACATCTGTTAAGATCTTTCTCATAAATGCAAATGTTTAGCAAGTAAATGCAAATCAATTGGTGCTTCGGGTCACATCGCTTGCTGTGACCAATAGTCCTGTTAGTGTAGTGAAGGTTTTCCTTCGCTGTATGATACCATAGGCGCCCGCTTGCGAGGCCTGAGAGCTTGATCCATCCGGAGACCTTCCCAGCTAGACACCTCACCACCTGCATGGTTTTCACGTTCCCGACGTACGGTAGTGTAGTGTAGTGCATGCAAGTGTGAGTGTTTGTGTGAAAGGGAAGAGGATATGACAAGGAAGAGGAAGGAAAGATCTCGCGCGGTCCGTGGGCCGTTTGCTGGTAGGGCATTGCACCGGCATTCGTCTGGAAATGATCAGAGAAACAACGGGATACAACCAATGAGTGCATCCCGCTGCTAGAATCTTACAAAGATGTTGCTTCATCAAAGGATCGAAAAGAAGAAGCCGTTAAGGCGTCGAAATAGCTCGGGTTTTACATTCGCGGTGTGAGGCAGCGACTTCCAAGAGAACGCCTTCCCTTCGCATAACATATTTGATTGATTGATTAGCGATTGCAAACCTGGCGGCTGCTGCGTACATTAGTCCCGTGAGTGTAGTGATTGTTTCACCGCGGGAGGTGGCAGTGATCTCCCGCCCGTTGGTGAGATAAAGCGCCGACCTACCTGTCGGCTTGGAGGAGTTTCCCCAAACAGATATCTCCCACCCGTGGGGCACTGCCCCTGTCTTGCAGGCTCTAAGCTACCGAAGAGCGCGACAGTGTAGTGCACGTAATCGTGTCTAAGCAAGGGTGAGGTTAGGACAAGGAAGAGGAAGGAAAAAATCGCGCGTTTCTCAAAATACTGCTCCGACATTCGCCTGGTGTTGATCGGAGAAATCACGGAAAACTATCAGATAAGCCAGCCGCTGGAATTCTTCTCTACAAAGCGACTGAATTCCCCCTAGCTATCTAGCTTGTCGGAAATACTGCCACCGTCAGCACTCCAACCTAGAACCTCCCCGTCAGAGGGGCTGCAGTGACATCAGTTGATGCCCTGAGACACTTCTCCCGGTCCGGACAGCCAAGATCATTTGCTTAACTCTGGTCGTAGAAGCCTACAACTTCAGCGATCACACTTCCCACATAGCCGACTTCGCGTGCCAGTACGCAACATGGAGGACACAGTCCACTAGGACTAAGAGTCATATTTTATACACCTCTCCAGGAACCTGCCTGGCCTAGCTGGCTGTCAGTGGTCTTTTTTGCGATTTATGAACGGTCCTCGACATGCTGCCTGCAGCAGCTCTCTGCTGGCAGAGGCGTGTTGGTGCTGCCAGCCCCCTCCAGCCTGCTCCCAGCTTGGCTCACTCGTGTTTTTACTCCCTCCGTGTGCTGTTGTGTTGTACTATATTACTATTTTACCGACTTTGCTTGATTTTTGGTCTCTCTTCTTGATTTACGGCAACCTAGCATACATTTTGTACTTCTCAATCGGATATACGGCGAATTTTAGCTTTCTCTTTTGGACCATTCCTTTTATACACGGCAACATAACCTGCGTATTGACGTGAAGTCTGTTTACGACCAAAGTGTTAGCAAGGAAATTCACTACAAAGCAAGGTTTCATATGTATCTTATGGATCGTGTTTTGGCTTTGAATATTGGTTTTTCTTTGCGGACGTAGTATTGGTTCAGGATATGGATGACTTTTATGAATTCGTGCAGGATGTTGTGGAGAGGAGACGACTGCCTCGGCGGTATGTCCGCGATTTGGCAAATCCATTAGAACATTTTTCTGACAGGAAATTTCAGGAAAGGTGTAGATTTCAGAAAAAAAGTGGTAGAATTTCTAAACCCTTTGATGATTAGATTGTCGAAACCAGATAATCGCGGAAAACCCGTACCCGTTATGATAAAGCTGTTGATAGCATTGAGATTTTTTGCTATGGGTGGTTTTGGTACACCTGAGTTGTGAGTTAATCCACATTTTTGTTCATTATTTTTCAATATGGTATTCTTGCATTACATATAATGTGTATTTCAGAGAGACAACGGAGATATTCTTGGCATTTGTCAAGTAAATGTTTGCGTAATTGTCAAACAAGTGGCAGAAATTCTTGCTGCTGAACTAAGAAACAAATAGTGTGGACTGCAAAATTATTCATCCATATTCTGAATTTTGTTCTCATTTATATTTTTGCTTTGATTACATTTTTAAGGTATTGAGATGATATATAAAAAAATTGAAACTAAAGAAACAATGTGTACGTCTTTCAATTTCTTTATTGATCTTTGGTAGGTGGAGAACGGTACATCCATTGAGAGTATTCAAACATCGAAGTTATAAATTCAATTAAAAGTCATTAAAATATTACACGATTAAAATTTAATTTAATAAGCCAGTTAATAAAAACATATCATGCAAGTCAGCCAGATATGCAATCTTCAATAAGTTCAACTTATTCCCTACATCAATCTCTTCTTACTTTATGAATGGTCCTATCAAACAATTAAAAAATTTGTATGAAAACAAAAAGGTGCAAACATTATCACCTCCTAGAAACTGAATATAAGTCTTCTATGATTTGTTTGTATGGTTCCATATTTTCCACACTTTTGATTGAAATATCATGTGTGAAAAATCACCTTAATCTACCTTAGCGGATGGGGTTGATAAGAAGACTGCCGAGTTTTGCATTTTGTATTATTTTATTCGCTTTCTAATATGCATAAATATAAATATTACAAATTGTTAGAAATAAATATAAATAAATAAATATATTAATAAATAATATTATTTACACAGATTTTGAACAATTCCCTTATTTATTCGTAACTTCCAACGCACATTTTCAATGATTTAGATATCTTTTCGTTTCTTGCTTCAATTCCTGAAAAATAAATAGTCCTTTCACAGGCGAGGAGAAAAGTATTAAAGAAGCAGGTTTAAACGTGGTTTGATTCCGTTCCTAAGACTCAGAGTGTCTCAAACGTTACACGAGGCACCTTGAAATTAAGTTTGAACAAAAAATAAACCCTTCGATCCCAAATACTTGTCTTCTCTGTGGCTTCTGATTTGGTCAATGATATTGAAACAATCTCTGTTTTTATGAAGTGTATTGAAAAGTCCCTGTATCCCATTAAGTAGCCCTCAGCGAACCTGCTGTTTTTTTTTATTTTTTTGTACAAGATTTCAGAATAAATGTTGTTTAGTGGCCAAAAATGAGCGCTTTTTGCCAATGGGTAAAATGATGAATTGTTTATAAGAGAGTTATGCGCTTATACACTTAGGAATTTCTCCCTTAAATTCGGCTGCTACTACATGAAATCTTCTTGACGGCGTCAAAAGTCAAAAATACGTGCATAAGGAGTTACGTTAAAAGTCACAACTCGAATGTAATTCTATTGTGTGAAATTTATCCCTGTATGTTCATTGGCAAAAATCGATCATTTTAGACCTCTCAACATTCCTTTAGCAATTTATAACATTTCTTCTGTAACACCTGTGTGGCGACACATCAAAAACGAATGGCAGTGACATTGTTATGGAAGTCTAGGTTTTAACTTGAAGCCATTTGAGAAAATATTACGCTATCATAAACAGAAAAAGATTTCGATGTTTTAAGGAATGACGTTTTCGAATGCTTTCGTAGAGGAGATGTCCCTTTGGTCTCTGTACCTGCTATTTTAACCCTAGAAATTACAAACGGGTCTCAAAGCTCTGTTTGTGATTGGTTGTTATTTGTAGTATTCAGTTTTTGACGAAGTTGAAAATTATTGATATAGTTTATTAGGTATTCTGTGCAAAATTTGACGCACTTTATCACGGGTGTTTGTTATAATTTGGGATATCACATCGCCCTTGGCTGTGATTAAAAGCATTCGCGACCATTCTCTCAAGAATTACAAATCCATAAAAAATTTTAGAAATATTTGTACGTTCTTTTACGAATTAATGTAATGTACTTTAAAAAAAGTTTTAAAGATACGACGTCCTTCATTTGACACACAAATATAATAGGTTTTGTCATTGAATACAAACATTCATCCGAGAAAAGATTTTTTTTCGTTTGCAGCGCTTGATATTGATTGTTTTTGTTTCAGTGAATTAGATTAACCAATTTAAAAATGTTTGTAAATCGTCAAAATCATTAATAAAACCGCAGTTTTAGCTGTGTACCGTGGTGTAGAGGAATTTCTCTAAGAAGGGACCCCTTTGGCAAGTGAACGTTCTGCCAAGGGATGACATTGCAAGTCGCTTGCTAATGCGCCAACGGTGACCGAAGGCTCTGACCAAATGAGTTCACGGGCGCAACCTGCACTTGTGTTGTTAGTAGAGGCCAAGCGCCTCAGGCGATGTTCTCCTCGTCCGACCGCTCCGTGGTGGTGGTGGTGGTGGTGGTGGTTGTGGTGGTGGATGTGGAGGTGGTGGAGGGGGCGTGAGGCGGTGGAGGGGACGGGGGGCGGGCGGGCCGTAGTGTGGCGTTGGGGCGGGCGGCGGAGTGGCGGTGGCGACCTCGCAGTTGCGCCCGGTGTAGCCGTCGGGCAGAGCAGCGGTAGTGCCGTCCTCCTCCGTCAGCGACACGCACGTCGCGTTGTGCTCGCACACGCCCGGGTGCTCGCGGCAGTACGTCAGCTCTGTCACACACACACACACAATCATTAGACCATGCGGCGGCGCTGTAGAGGGCATCAAGTGACATGAGGTGATATGAAGTGACGTCAAGTCAGGCAAGATGAGGTGAGGTGACGTGAGGTGAAGTGTCGTGAGGTAAGGTGAGATGTTATGACGTAAGGTGACGTCAGGTGAGGCTGAGTGCCGTAAAGTGAGATGACGTTAGGTTAAATGACTTGGGATGACGTAAGGTGAGGTGACATAACGTAAAGAGAGATGACGTAAAGTGAGGTCAGGTGAGGTGTGGTAACGTGAGAGAAGACGTAAGGTTATATGACGTTAGGTTAGGTGAGATGGCGTGAGGTGAGATTAGATGATGTCAGGTGACGTGAGGCCAAGTGGCATGAAGTGCTGTGAAGTGGCGTGAGTTGTGGTGAGAGGACGTGAGGCGAGGTGGGGCGAGGCGAAATGGCATGAAGTGCTGTGAAGTGGGCGGGGCGAAGCGCTGAGGGAGCTGACCTTGGTCGCAGAGCATGCCGCCCCACCCGGCGTCGCAGTTGCACTCCCAGGGCCGGCGGCAGCCGCCATGCACGCAGCCGGGGTACGGGTAGCACTCGGCGCAGTTGGCGCCCCACCACCCCACCTTGCACCTGCGCACACACACACGCGCACACATTACCCCTCTGATGCTCGCCACCACCTCTCTCGGAACGACACTCTTATTCCCTTACTAACAAGAATATCCATAAGACCCAGAGCTTTATCCAGATCTCATGTAATGCTCTTGCATGGATTCTCAATAGCCTTGGATTAATTGCAAATCTTTGTTTCGAATGCAATCCAACTTGTTTCGAACGAAATGATAGGGTTGAAAAGGATTAATAACACGGGAACGCAAAATAAAAACGTAGTCAGACCCAAAGTCGACACATTCGATGTATGTCGACGCGCTGCATCGAAATCCGACGCCAGAATTGTGCCTCCGCCCCCAAGTTTTTTTAAATCGCGAAAAAAACACCGTGAAATGAACAATTTATGATTTCACTGTGGTTTTTCGAAATTAAAAAAACACTGGAGGGTGATGGCGCAATTCGACAAACGAAGGCGTCGCTTCACGATTAACGAAAGGAGCTACGTTTTATCAAAGAAGTAATCGATCTTCCCTGAATGTACGTGCGAATCGATTTACATGACTTCTATGAACCGCTTTCATATGCCACCGAGCCTAAAATATGTTGGCTTTTTTATTGGCGACTTCAAAACGTTTCTTTCTTGAGTTTTGAGGAATGAAATTTGTCTTTCAGACAGTAAATAATACTCGCAATAAAGCACTTAGTTGTATCTCGCCATTAGATATATACTTTAAAGGCTAGTCAGGAATTCGAAATTAATTGTGTGCTAAAATCCATTGCCTAACGTTGTAATTATCATCTCAAAAAAAGGTTAAGCTTGAAAATAACGTACCATGAAAATATAACAAAATAACGAGTAATTATTACATTATTTGTATATATATATATATATATATATATATATATATATATATATATATAATGCATATAGGTGTTGTGGTGTGATATCTTTGGCATTTTTCATAAAATAATTAAAGACGTTGTCATTGCCAACAATATTATTTATTGCAATTGCAGCTTTCGATGGCTTAGCCATCATCATCAGTTGTCTGCTGGGTGGAAGCCATCGAAAGCTGCTATTGCATTAAATAATATTGTTGGCAATGACAACGTCTTTAATTATTTTATATAATGCATCATGGATTACGCGTTATTTTGTTAAATTTTCAAGGTGTGTTTCTTCGCACGGGAATAACAGTTAAATTGAGTGAATATGCGCATTCCAGAGCCACATGGTTGATTTATACGAACCATAATTTTTATCTTTTTCATACATAATTTCTTAATAAACTCTTTAATTTCTAGCTAAACCAAGACAAATACAACATTTAAGAAATCAACTACTAGGGCTATCTCAGCTATAAAATAATTGCTGAAAAAAACAATTTATGAAATGGAGAAGCACTGATAATGGTATCATTGATCGTTTGGTGTTGAAGACTTTATTCTTCTTGGGGTAGCTAGAATCGATTGCAAACGTTCTTACCCACCTCCGCTATCTAGATTGGCACATTTCGTTTTAAAACTAAATTAATCTACATAATAAGCTACTTCCAGGGGGTGGACTAATGCATCAGTTATGATGAGAAAGTATTTCTGCAAAACGTTCTTACAAGATATTTTATATCATGCTAAGAGCATACTGATGTTCTTCGACAGAAATACTAAAATTTATTTAATCCAAGAAAACAATTAAATGTTTTAATACATTAATAATAATAATAATAATAATAATAATAATAATATGAACATTATCTAAGGTATGCCTATGGAGATAACTACGCTTGGTTATCATAAGTTTCTTTCCTTCGTGGGGCTGTCTCCCCATTTAATTTTGTGCCACTGCGCTACTAAGGATCTACTTTTTTGTGTACATGCATATGATGTGAGAATTTACCTGCACTCTCCAGGCTTCCTACAGTAACCATGCTCCCTGTGGCAGTTTTCTGCACATATAGCTGCAAACAAAAAGAGAAAATTAGGCACGATAGGTTTTCATTGAGAACAGTTTGCAATATCTGAATAGAAAACAATAAGGTTCTAAAGGGTAATGCAAGGGCATTTCATTGAATCACAGGATATGACAGAAATATACTGACATGTTTTAAGGGTTTTGTTATTTTTTTACGAAATTATTTGTAGTTTTCATTTATATATCTCAAATTGTAATGCTTAATGCATGGTAAGTTCGCGTTATTTCCGAAAGTAATATCTTGGTGCAAAAAATTAATAGTTTTATTTTTAGCAAAATTTCACTATTGTCTAAAAGATGCATCATTATTTTATTTTGATTTTGTTTCAACCGTGTCTGATGATTATCGACTTAGGGCTCCATTTATGTGCTAAATGAAGTAATTTTAAAACAGCATGAAATGTCAGTTTTTAGAAGTCATTTTTGAGAACTAGAAACGATCTCATGGTGTTTCAGTTATTTGATTGTGTCACTGAACAATTTACGTTATTTGTTCTACTGAAATTAAATTATTTAAGTGGAAAATATGAATTTGGCACCGTTCCTCAAACCCTTCTCTACCTTCCAACGCCTTAGGAACTTTCTGCGTCAACACGTGGCAGCGCAGCAGTCGTTTGCAAAATGGCCGGCGTCGATGTTGGTAAGAGAGCGCGTTGATTACGTAATTGAATTTTCGAATCCAGACGGAGAAATGCCCTAAAGAGGTCTCTGCTTCCCAAGATCGCTGTACGAGAAAGTCATGAGAAAAAGTCGAAGGCTCTACGCCCACGATGCCTGCATTATTTCGTAAGCCTTTACATTTGCTTAAGTTCACAAACGGCGAAATATTAATTTAGTTTCCATTATTTGTTGATTTGAATGGTAAAATTAAAAAAAGATTAAAATTATTGAATCAGCATGAGGATAAAAGGAACAATTTCTTTTCTTACTTTGGAAAGTTGTTCTTTAAGGCAAGGCAAATTGTACTGTGATGAAAGTTATCGCATCATAACGATGTTTAGGCTGTCATAGTGAATTGGTAACGAAAAATTGAATAGGATGATATGACATGTGTGAGTATTATTTAATGTTTCCTTCCTCCTTAAAAGTGGCAAGAAATGACTTGTTCGCTTTCTCCTCATCCGAATTCAATTTATCTACATGAGTCCCCCCGTAATAATAATTTTCTCAGCAAATGCTACGAAGTGTTAATTTTTATAATGCCACGAAATGCTAAATGTTGTTAAAAGAAGAAGTGGAAGAGTCCGGCACTGACGCGTCTGGCAGAGGATGCCGGTGTAGCCCTCCTGGCAGCGGCACTCTAGCGGGCGCGTGCACGAGCCGTGCTGGCAGCCCGGGAGCACCTGGCAGTCGCGGCACGTCTCGCCCGCCCACCCCAGGCGGCACCTGCGCACACAGCACCTTTCAGCTCGCTCCGCACGCGCCGGCACACGCTAGCACGCACCAGCACACACCAGCACACTCTGGCACAAACAGGCACACACTAGCACACTGGCAGAAACTAGTTGCCACTAACAGATACTATCACCTACTATCACTCACTAACACACTAATACAAACGAGTCTCTAGCACACCTAGTACACTGGCTTACACTAGTAAATACTAGCAGTCCCTACAGAAGCACTCACTGAGACCCATAATCACATAGAACCACACATACGCACACGCTAGCACACTCACTCACACCATAGTACAAACTAAGCACACTCTGTCACATACTTACCCTAGCACCCATCAGCACACTCTAAAACACTTGACAATAATAAGCATAAACGTGTGCACACAAAGTGGAGTAAAAACACAATCGCACATACGAGTACTAGATGCATTACCTTGAGCTGTACTCCTTTTCTGTGCGTCTGGTTCCTTACACTCGTAGTCTCTGATGACCTCTTCTTTGTCATTTTCAACTACAATTCTCTGTATATCAGTACATTTTATCCCTCCATGTCACTGTTCCTATCTCTTAACATTTTCTATTCTCGTCAGCACCTTCCCTTATCTCCTGCCTCGTGTCTATCTTACATTCTTATAGTCTTTCTATATCTGTTTTTTCATTTCATTTCATTTCACCATTTTTCTCATTTCATTTTCTCTATTTGATGCCACACTAGTATTACTCGCCCTTTTATCTAAAGATATATTCGTGATTAGGGAGGAGATTTTTATGCCCTAAGAAATCTGAGAAATGCTATTAAAAATATGCATTTATGACCTAAAAATCCAAAATATGCCTCTCAATATGTAAGAAAAATTAACAATATTTCATTTCGTGTATGAACCTTTCTTCGTAAAATTCAGGAGAAGCATGTTTTGATTGAAGAAATATATTTTTGTGCAAACATAATACAATCTAACTTATCTCGCGGAAGTTATAATTGAAGTAAATATTCAACTTAGTGAAGTTCATTGTGTGTTACGGTGCATTTCTTCTGTCTGGCTTTAAAAATATATCCAGGAATATTCATTTGCACAAGTATTTTATCGTCTACAGAAAACATGCAACGTTTTAGAGATGCCTCTATTTTAACGAAATATGCAAAATATGTGCCTATAATTGCACGAATATGCCCCAACAGTAAAAATCGATACAATATGCACTGAACCATTAATCTATAAAGCATACAATTCTAACCAAATGCCAAGAAATTTCACTTAGCTATAATGCACTGAATCATCTGACAAAAGTATGCAAAATGATAGAAATCCGCTCCCTATTCACCATTGGAAGTAATCGCCTTTGAGACGATGACGTACAAAGTGCGTGCGAGTTGTTCTTACCTGCATTCTCCCGGGTACTCGCAGTACCCACGCGTCGCGTGGCAGTCCTTCCTGCAGACGGCTGCGAAGGAGAGTCAGTCTCGTGTTAGACATTCAGTTCACACCAATACAGAACAGCCCTTCAAATACTACCACTTGCGTTCAAGTAGTTGATACAATTTACATTTTCATTCACTTACAATTCAAACGACTTAATGCACGGTTTACGTTTTTTTAAGAATTAACTTTTCCTTCAAAATGCTTTTTTTGGAATTATAGCGCCATAATTATATTTTTTGTTTTCTTAATGATCTTGGGCTACAAAACCAATTTGAGTTTTGTGGAGCTCAATGGGCAATTACCATACATCTCTCTGAATAGATCACCATAGTACAAATATGTTAATTTTTAATTTTTCTTCTATTTTTGTATTAATTTCTTACCAAGCTCCTATTTTGTTACATTAGTTCTTTTGCAATTGAAAATTAAAACATTTTTGTTGCGGTCAGATGTTGTGCATTTAAGTATCGGAGTAATAGCAATTACATGTACATACAAATAAGACAGAAACTTATTGTACCTGATTCTTGAACTTAATGTTTTGGGACTTGCCGTCTGCCATTAGCATTAACATTTATTTTAGTCAAAATTACATGCATTCAACCCCTAGATAATGTATGAAGCCAAAAAATCTATTGTGTGAAATGTGATATAAAAGTTAATAAATAAGATCGTTCGAAGAATTGTTACCCTGGCCTGGAATCGAACTGGGTCTCTTCACTTATGCTTAGTTGCTCTAACTGGACATACGTGACAACACACAACTGACCTACCAAGACGATCAATTCTTTGAACAGTGTCTTAAGTCCGTTACATGATTTATTTGCCACCAACCCGTCGCCGTTTAGGAGAGTCAATTTCATCAGAAATATGCCCCGCCCAGAAAATGTCTCCTGCGATGTGGATTTGTTACTTTGTAATAAATACATTCGTTACGCAGTAACAAGGTCACGTGACGGGAAACATTTACTGCTGACGACGGCGTAAAGCACGCTTACAAACGGTGATGATTGAATTAGTTTTCTCGTAATGTGAATGTTAGAGAGAGAGAAAGAATCGGACTGACGCTCGGAGCAGAAGAGGCCGTCCCAGCCCTCGTCGCAGATGCACTCGAAGCTGGTGTTGCAGTAGCCGTGCTGGCAGCCCGGCAGCGCGATGCACTTGTTGCACAGCTCCCCGTAGAACCCTGCAACACAACACGACACCACACCCCTGCTCAGCCGCACAGAATAAGGGCTACAAACCGCTCAGCTAAGAAGAGTGGCCGGAAATAAGTACTGTTTGCCACTGGACACACACACCAGACATAACTCAAATCTGACGTCTAGTCTCAAACAGAAACAATTATAACCTTTCTTTGGGATGGATTACAGCAAAGCGTGTACATTTCAAACGCCCCGCGCTTTAGATATTGTCGGCACATACGCGGCCCAATTAATTCAAATTTGGAGAAATTCGGCTAAGATTCCGACAGGTCTCCCAGCACGTGGTTGTGTAGTGCATGTTAGTGTGCAAGGAGTAAAGATAGGAAGAGGAAGGAAAGATCGCGCGCGTCCGTGGCCTGTTTCTTAGGGCCCTGCTCCGGCATTCGCCTGGTTTTGATCGTAGAAACCACAGTTAACTACCGATCAGAGCAGCCGGTCGCTAGAATTCTCCTCCAGACAGTAGTTGAATTCTACCTAGGTGAGAAGTTAGTGTCGACCGGGATATAACATGCACTACAGCTAAGAGGCTAAGATGCTGACGCTAGAGCGATTCATTCATTTTTTATTATTCCTGTGCATACCTCAACATCGAATCATGCTGTATCGTGTAGTAAATCATATACTGTCAGAGAGATTCGAAACTGCAATTTACTACTAGGGCTGTAAAGCAAATTAGGAAGTTTAGTAAATTCAAAACCCAACTTTGTGTCTGGATAAAACAATGAAAGTTAGTTTACATATGCCTTTTTTTTAAATTTATTTCGCGCACAATTTTCACCAAGAATAATAATTTTTCCTGTATTACTTTTATTATCATTCTTAGTAACTTTTTCAATTCATCTTTCAAAAAAAACTACCCTCTACCATCTTCACGGCATTAACTCAGGATACAGTAAAAGGGTCATTCTATTTTAAGTGATCCAGAATTGAATAAATTGATCACGTCAAGTTCTGAAAAACTTCTGTAAATTTAGGAGAAAAATGTTGAATGAGAAACTTTTCCTCTTTGTGAGAAGTGGATAAGGAGCAATCATATTATTGTACAGCCACATTACACTCATCTGGCGTTATTTGAAATAATTAGTAATATTTTTTGTAAACAGACATAAAGCAAAGTGTAATAAATAAGAAAAATATAAAAGAGTAGAAAAATACCACAAGAACAAAGAAAAGCTTATCTTAATTATATATTTTTTTTAGTGATATGTTATTGCTTATTATTTGTTTCGATACGGAGATACACTGTGTAACTACTGGAATACGACTTACCTGGATTGATAGCTTCGCGTTTACGAGGAGGATAATGGAGACAGTTGAATGGTGCTTCACGTTCTCTTATGGGAGGAATTATTAAAGGGAATTACATGGAATTAATTGTGAGAGGGATATATAAAAACACAGATAATAATCAAGAAATTATAAAGTAAAGTTAAGTCTAGTTAATCAGTAAATTAGTAATTATGAATCACATTAAAATTGGATAAAAAGTAAAGGCATGGTATGCACTAAGGGCGATATAAGGGTTCTAATGATTTCGGGTGGCAAAACGCCTTCATGCCCAAAGACTTTGGTCACCACTCGAACATCAGAACGCCCTTAGTGCATAAATAACTATTATACAAAAATTGGTTGATACGAATGCGTTAGGATTGTGCCAGTAGAAGTTTGCCATAGACCAAAGTTATTTAGTGCTTTAGTAAATATTGTGAGAATATTGATATTAAATATTAAGAAAGAACGTATTATTACTAATTTTTATTTACGCAGAATACATTCGTGTACTATATGGCTTTATCTTCTGACTTTATAAATAAAGTTCTTCCTAAATGGAAAGTTCTTCCTAAATGGCTACTGAAGCTTCTAGTTTTCAATGAAACATTAATACATATGTTTCTTTTCAAACAGTACATAATGAAATACATGTCGTCAAGTGGTGGTCTACGAACCTTCCTTACAAATGTTCCATTGCATTATTCGAATTTTTCGCAGGATTCATTTCACACCAACTTTATTATGATTGCGACGACTCGAAGAGTTATTATTCAATACTCGGGGGGATTGTATAAACAGCACGTGCACTGCAATTCCAACGGCCGTCTGGTAAGGTCGGACACGATACGGACTGTTGTAAATTCACCCGAATTTGGTCAATTTATATATGCGTTTTTTCTTCGTAGAAACGAAGAAAGAAAGAAAAAAGAAAGAAAGAAGTTTTCAAATGGAAATATGAAAACAAGTTCATCTTTCTTCGATAGTACTCATGTATTTAAAACTTAACCATAAGCATTATGACTCCTTCATACGGCACCACTCAGCAGCGTTTCTGAGTGGTGCGTCTGTAGGCGAAGCGTTGGTTTAAATGGAGGTATTCACACGAGCAGCGGAGACAGCAGTGCGCTCGGTGGTGTCGCCAGAAGACGCTCGTCCGCACCACCATCAGTAGAACGCTGTTTTAAATGGCAGCCTCACAGTATACCACTTAGATGCGCCACTAAACCTGTTTTGGCTGCCGGCTGCCAACGAATCCCTCCTTTCTCATGGCGGGTGGTGCTCGGAGGTTGCTGCGTGTGAAGGGGCTCGGTGGCGCCACCGAGTGGCCGCCGTGCGAAGGCAGCCTAAGATTACGCTCGAGGCCTTAGGCATCGCGAATCCTTCCTTTCTTACGGCGAGTGGCGCTCGGGGGTTGCTGCGTGTGAAGGCGCTCGGTGACGCCGCCGAGTGGCTCTGCGCAGAGGCAGCCTCAGAGAGCCCAGCTCGAGCAGAAACACGAGTCCGGCCACGGCGGCGCCCAGGGCGAGCAGCATGAAGGGCCCCGAGAGCTGCGCCGCGCGCAGCGGCCGCACCGCGTCCTGCTGCGCGGGCCGGCCCGCCTCTGCGCGCTGCATCATGGCGTCCACGGCGAACATGTGCGCCTGCAGGCTGCGCCACTGCGCGTAGAGGCCGGCCTGCACTGCGCGCGCCAGCACGCGGTCGAGCGCGAGCGCCGCCGCGCTGTTGCGCTGCAGCAGGTAGGTGCTGAGGGCCGGCGCGTAGAAGGGCTCGCGCACGAGGTGCAGGCGCGAGCGGCCGTGCGGCGCCGCGTAGTCGGGCAGGCGCGAGAAGTAGTCGAAGGTGCGGCGCGTGACGAAGCAGGCGCTGTCTCCCGAGCGCACGATGTCGCGCAGCGCACGCAGCTCACCCTGGAACGAGGCCGTGTGGCGCACGCGCTGGCGCCAGCCGCCCTGCGGCGACGCGTACTGCAGGTACACCTGGGTGGACTCGGGCGCGTACAGGTGCCCGCGCAGGCCGCTCACCTGCGCGCAGGGCGGGTCCTCGCTTTTAAATTTATATCATTCACAGTAGAACCCCGGTACTCTGCACTAATTCGGGCTTCGGATTCCAAAACGTTCAGGTTGTTCGAAAATATGTACCGAACATATACAAATACGTCTATAGGATTACCAGGCACAATGCTATGTGATGTGAGAAAATGGCAACGTGACGTTGAGATCGCATCGCACCGTCTGGCAGATCCAGTTCCTTACGGCAAAAGAAGATGACCGGTTTTGCAATGATTCTAAGTAAAAATTACTGCTGCATAAACATGTATTATACACAGTAGTTACCAGTGCAATAAACATTTCTGTTCGACTTGAGTTTCAGTAATTAGTTTTCAGTTCCACAGTAATAATAAAATTGTTTCTTTGCACTGCAAATAGGCATTTTATTTATTTTGTTTATTTTTCCTCCATCCCGAATTGTATCCAAAATGTCAGATTAGGGGGTACGGGTTTTCGAGGTTCTACTGTATTTATTTATTTATTTATTTATTTATTTATTTATTTATTTCACGTCAAAAACAGTAACGAACTGTGTGTCGTGCTAGGAGGAAGAGTGCAATATGTGCCCATTAACACAGGGAAGGCGCGCGGGGTTCCTGAGAAATTGTTTCCGGGAAAATTCACTTTTAGATATATTTGCAGTCTTTCGAGAATTTCAACGCCTTTTGACGAACGATTTAGCCTCTGATTTCTGGTCTTTTAAGAAGGTACCGAAGGGGAAAGCCTTAAAAACCGAGTAATGTTGTTAATTTATGATATTTACTTCCGAAAACAAACAATAAAATTGAAAAATTACAAAATTAATACCATTCGACCCACTTAATTTACTGTCCTCGTCAGGTACAAAAATTAATTGATATTAATACAAACGTCCTTGATTATAATAGAAACATAAATGAATGCGCGAAAGTGGGGAATAAATCTGTTATAAACATCGACTACCCACCGCACAGTCGAGATTTGCCTCCACTTGTTTGGCACCTTTTTTTATACTATTAAAAGCCTTAAATGGAGGCAAAAGGTTCAAAAACCAATTTGAAAACAGGACATGGTGTGAATGTACGTAGTGACATAATTCTCCCCAAAACAGCGGCTAAATACGATCTGGTTGGTCAGAGCTCGAATCCTAAAACTCTCCGGTCAGACAAAAATAATGCTGATTTTGCGGTAATTCAACTGAAAATGATAGGAGAAATCACAAAAATCTTCCGATCAGAACAGGAAGTTGTTAGAGGTCCCCTCCAGATATCGGCTAAACTCGATCCAGCTAGTGTGGAAAACTTCGAAACTCAGCCGCCGCCAGGACTCGAACCCTTGAACCTCCGTATTAATGACCCTACAGAGCCATTGTCCCCGGTTTGGCCTGGTCAAGGTCTGCAGAGGGCGCGGGCGGCGCTGACCTGCCGCAGCGAGTCGAGGTCGTCCAGGAACTTGGGCACCGTCAGGAAGCCCAGCAGCAGCCCCTGGTAGGCGCTGCCGGCCACCAGGAACAGCACGCAGCCGCTGGCGGCCGCCAGGCGCTGCGGCAGGCGCTGCAGGCGGCCCGACAGGCAGCCCGTGAAGGCCACCTCCATGGCGTCGGTGAGCGCGCGCCCCGCCTGCAGCAGCAGCAGCCGCCTTCACGCTCGGCAAACTAGTCATGTAAATGAAGGAGCTCCCGCGAGGGCGGTGGCATTGTTTGGCCCCTTTACTTGGTGCTACTCGGTGGCAAGCGCAGAATGCTTAAGTTTCCTGCCCATGGCACCATTCAGCGGCTCGTCAGCTGGCAAAGCATAGGCTTAAATGGATATATTCGCAGAGGGCGCTTAGGTTCCCTTCCCTTAGCGCCACTCAGCGGCGCTTCCGAGCGCTGGCAAAGCATTGGTGGAAATGGGGGTTAGAAAATTCAGAACTTCATTTTACAGTTCGCCGTCATATAAATGAATAGATGGCCAGGTTAACAAATGAATAAACTGAATGAGTGAATAAACGAATAATGAAACAAGCGAATAAATTAATGAATAGATTGTTCCGGCCGCAAGCCGTCCTAAATCTGTCCGGACGAATGACTATTACCTTCTGCCACAAGGACGAGTTACCGTCGTGGCCCGACGCACGCACCAAGAAGCAGACAGCGGCGAGGACGGCCAACGCACCGGCGATGGCGGCCCACGCGGGGCGCGAGAAGGGCAGCAGCAGCACCAGCCCGAAGGGCACCATCTCGGCCTTGCGCACGGCGAAGAACACGTCGTCCTGGCTGAGGACGGCGGACAGCGCGAAGTAGCGCGTGTTCTCGTGGAAGGCGATGCTGGGCGCGAGCCAGCCCACGGCCGCGCGCGCGTACACCTCAAAGGCCTCCGCCTGCACGTCGAACTGGAACCCGCTCAGCACGCCGCGCTCCACCAGCAGGCGCACCATCTCGCTGTCCGGCCCGAAGCGCACCAGCACGCCGCGCCGGTTGCGCCAGCCGTGCGCCAGGTACACCGGGAACACCCTCGCGAACGGCCTCTCGTACACCACGTGGCGCAGCGCGGGCGTGAAGAGGTTGTCGGGGCTGGGCGCCGCGCAGAAGGCGCGCAGGCGCTGCGCTTGCACGACCACGCCGGCCGCCGCGCTTGTCTCCCCCCGCTCGCGGCGTTTCTCCGTCAAGTGCACGACGATCTCGTAGGCCGGGGCGACGATCACGACCGCCAACCGGGGCGTCCCGAGCGCCTTGACGAACTGCGCGAACACGTCGTTGACCTCGTCCTCGGCGGCGTCGAGCGCGGACAGCAGCACGACGGCGAACGGCGCCAGCACGTTGGTAGCCCTGTCGGCGGCCCAGCGGCGCGCCACGAGGCGGAAGGCCTGCAGCAGCGCGCGGCGCGACAGGAGCGCCACGTGCAGGCCGGCCAGGCGCTGCAG